GAGAGAGAGAGAGAGAGAGAGAGAGAGAGAGAGAGAGAGAGAGAGAGAGAGAGAGAGATATCTACCGGGTGATACTGACTGGGTATCAATAGGACACCCACATTTTTTCTGGAAGGATGGGAGTCCCTGCCACTGCAGATGCAGCCTTGTTCTGAAGTTGTGTGTGTTTCTGGGCTCAGACTATTTCTCTTTCTAGGAAGGCCAGACTTGGTGGGGTGGGGAGGCAGCTGGATCGGCTTGTCGTTTGATCCCCAGCATCCGGGTGAAAGAGAGGCGCATCTCTGCACAGCTGCAATCCCAGCACCAGGAGGAGGGAAGAGGATCTCTGGGCTTGTTGGCCACTCTTCTAGCCCAGTGAAGACCTCCAGGATCGGGGAGAGACCCTGCTTCCCCATAAAAGGTGGAATGTGATTGAGGAAGATCCTCAACATGTATCACTGACTCCCACACACACGGCCACATGTGCACACGCACATGTGTACACGCACACACACACATGAACACACACATGCACAAGCACATACATATGTACACACACAAGCACAGACACACACACATATCCACATGCACACACACACACACATGTACAGACACACACACACATAAGAAAGAAAGAAAGAAAGAAAGAAAGAAAGAAAGAAAGAAAGAAAGAAAGAAAGGAAGGAAGGAAGGAAGGAAGGAAGAAAGACGGAAGGAAGACTTGGAAAACTAGAAAAACCTCCTGAGTCATCTGCTCCATGAGGCGTAGTTAGGTCCAAGTCAGTCTAGAACCTGTGCCCCTGGGGAAGTTATTATTTATTTATTTATTTATTTATTTATTTATTTATTTAATGTATGTGAGTACACTGTAGCTGTCTTCAGACACACCAGAAGAGGGCACCAGATCCCATGACAGATGGTTGTGAGCCACCATGTGGTTGCTGGGAATTGAACTCAGGACTTCTGGAAGAGCAGTCAGTGCTCTTAACTGCTGAGCCACCTCTCCAGCTCCGGGAAGTTATTTGTCTTCCTGGACAAGTGGTTTGGTAATGCTGGACAAGATTGTTTACAAACTTTGTTCAGGCTCTGGTTAGTTGTCAGAGTTTATTTTTCTTATTTTTTGACTCTTCTGCTTTATATTCCTCACGCTGGTCAAATGTCAAGTTTATCTCACCCATCCCTGAGTGCTTTAGAGATCTCTGTCCCTGTGTCTTTTATTACGTAAAACTCTGGTGTTTAATCCTCTTATTGCAGAACTAACACCAAATGCAAGGCGGACTTTTGATGAGCTCTGGTGGAGGAATAACAGCATACAGACAAATGATTCCCTAGGTGAGATTCTGGCGAATGGCCAGCGGAAACTGTAGTCTGATGCTCGAAGCTCACCATTGAACTGACCATGGGGTTCCCAATGGAGGAGTGAGAGAAGAATGAGAAGAGAGAAGGAGCTGAAAGGGTTTGCTTCCCCATGGGGAGAGCAGCAATACCAACCAACCAGAGTTCCCAGGGTCTAAACTGCTAACCTGGGAACACACATGGAGGGACCCATGGCTCCAGCTGTATATGTAGTGGAGGATGGCCTTGTCGGGCATCGGTGGGAGGGGAGGTCCTTGGTCCTGTGAAGGCTGGATGTCCCAGTGTGGGTGAATTCGAGGGCAGGGAGGTGGGAGTGGGTAGGTGGGGGCACATCCTCATAGAAGCAGGAGGAAGGGGGATAGGGGGTTTCAGGGGGGAAAATGGGGAGAGGGGATAACATCTGAAATGTAAATAAATAAAATATCCAATTAAAAAAAAGAGTAAAAAACAAAACAAAAGAAAAGAAAACAAAAGAACAATCACTACTTGAGTCAGAGAGAAGGCAGTCATTTGAGACTAAGCATAACATTGTAGCTCAGGCTGGCCCAGAACTGACTGTGTGGCTCAGGCTGGTGCTGGATTTCTGGTGATTCTTTTATCTTAGCTTCTCAAATTCTGGGATTACAGGCACCAGCCTCTATGCCTGGTGGAAGAAGGCATTTAAACGGGTGATAAAGGTCCTCTCCTAACTAAGGAAGCATTGGAATTCTGCCACTCAAAGTTAGAGGTGGAACTAAGATTGAGAACAGATACAAAAGTCAAAGAGACAGACAGACAGACAGACAGACAGACGACAGACAGAGGTGGGGGCAGGAAACTATCAAATCCAACTTGTTACAGAAGCAACAGTTTTGAAAAGTTAAAAACAGACAGCAGCAAGAGCACGTGGCTTTTGTGTGCCTGCCCTGTCCTCTCTTCTGTGCTGTTGACTTATATCGTGCAGACACATGCAAATCTCATGAGGGTAAAGAGACAGAGCACACGGCGCACTTTTCTATGAATCTGAACGTATTTCCTATTTTACCGTCTATGTAGTAAAGACTTCTAAAGGATCCAGGGAGGGACTTAAACAGGACACTCGATTTGCCGGAGAGTTGGAACAGACTAGTAAAACTGGCTAACCGGCGAGCCGATCACAAACTCCTCAAGTCCGTACCCTGAACTAATGCTTTAGGTTAGTGACTCTCAACCTGTGCTTCAGGTCGAAGGCCCCTTGCACAGGAGTCGCCTAAGACCACCAGAAAGCACAGATGTTTACGTTACAATCCACAACAGTAGCAAAATTACAGTTATAAAGTAGCAACAAAAATAATTTTATGGTTGGGGGTGAGAGAACTGTGTTAAAGGGTCACAGTGTCAGGATGGCCGAGAACCACTGCTTTAGATGAAAAAAAAATTACATCTTTGGTGAGATTATTATTATTATTATTATTATTATTATTATTATTATTATTATTATTTTAGACAGAGTTTCTCTGTGTAGCCCTGGCTGTCCTGGAACTCACTCTGTAGACCAGGCTGGCCTCGAACTCAGAAATCCACCTGTCTCTGCCTCCCAAGCGCTGGGATTAAAGGCATGCGCCACCACCGCCCAGTGTGAGATTATTGTATTTTTAATGTTGCTGTTTCAAAAGTTTTTATATATGTGCCTGATTAGTGTGTGTGTGTATATGTATGTATACATGTATGTATGTATGTGTGTGTATGTATACATGTATGTATGTGTGTATGTGTGTGTATGTGTGTATGTATACATGTATGTATGTATGTATGTGTGTGTGTGTATGTATGCCTTGTGTGTGCCTAGTGCTCACTGAGATCAGGAGGGTCATAGTCTCCCCTTGGAACTGGAGTTATGGATTCTAGGGAATCGTTCAGTGGGTGTTAGGATCTGAAGCTGGGGCCTATGTAAGAGCAACAGTTGCTCTTAGCCCCTGAGTCACATTTACAGACCCACTGTTGCTGTCTTATTTGAGACTTGGTCTTGCTATGTAGCTCAGGATTGCTTGGAACTTATTCTATAGAGCAGGCTAGACCTAGACTTACAGTCCTTCCATCTCAGCCTCCCAAGTACTGGGGTTACAAATGTGCAGCCTCGCTAGTCTTGGGGGTATTATTTTTCTTTTCTTTTTGTTTTTCATTTTTTTTCTTTTTGATCTTTTGAGACAGAGTCTCACTTTGGCTGGCCTGAAACTCACCATGTATACAGTCTGGTCTCAAACTCGGAGACCTACCTGTCTTTGCCTCCTGAATGCCACCATACCTGGCCCTCCTGGTGAAGTTCTTAAATATATACTTCATAGAATAGTTGTCTCTTAAAGAACCATCAAGAGGCTGGGTGGTGGTGTTTGTGCACGCCTTTAATCCCAGCACTCAGGAGGCAGAGGCAGGTGGATCTCTGAGTTCAAGGCTAGCCTGGTCAACAGAGTGAGTTCCAGGACAGCCAGGGCTACACAGAGAAACCCTGTCTCACCCCCACCAAAGAATCACCAAGAGGTTTGTAATGCTTGCCAAGAGAAACCTTACATAATGCCATTTACTGAGACAGTAATTAAGTAGGTTAGAGAGAGCTCTAGAAAAGGACATATTAATTTTAGTAAAATAACATAGACAATGCAGAAGGTGTTTTAGACCTTGTACCCATATTTTATCAATAACTTCAGTAGACATGATTAATATGGAGGATTCAGAAAGGTTTAGATAATATGAAATAAAGGGCGACCAATATCACAGGCAATAGGATCATAACTCAAAGAAACCTTGCAGTTTGAAGCATGAAAGGGAGGTGGCCAGAGGGGTATTTAAGTGGACACGTTCGTCCTGGCAACGAGTTTGAACAAGTACAGGAAAGGTGAGAACGTGCTTGGCAGCGGCTGCGTAAAGCAATGAGGATTTTGGGTTGGAGAGACGGCTCAGGAGTTGAGAGCAAAACTCTTGCAGAGGACCCGAGGTAGGCTCAGAGCACCCATGGTGGGTGGCTCACAACTGCCTGAGCTCCAAGGGATTCAATATTTCTGTGACCCTTGGAAATACTGAATCTCTTGGAGCTGGAGTTCCAGGCTAGTGGTACACACACACACACACACACACACACACACACACACACACACACACAGAGTTAAAAATTGTTAGGGGCTGTTTGTTGATTATTATGATTTAGGATGTGAGAAGGATTAAACATGAAGACTATATGAAGGATCTGGAAATGTTCAACCAATGGAAGACCACAAAAGCTGCCCTCAGTTGATCAAGGGGCTCAAAGGAGCTGGGAAGAGACTTAAGTCTACACACGCTCAGATATAGACTGAGACGTCTACCTGGAGTGCGGTGGT